TTTTCTTTTTCTTTTTTTTTTTTTGGGGGGGGGAACATAGCTTATCTAAACTGAAATTATAAAGAAAACTGAACACATTTTGAACAAACAATCTTAGACTCTCGTTTAGTCTGACAACCATGATGCTTTATTAGGAGCAAGTACAGAGACTGAATGAGTAGACCTATCACAGTAACAGGAATATTTTGACAGTAAAGACACACGTTTGTGGTGAGTATTCTTTTTTGCTATAGTTTAGTCTGCATTCTCTTTAAAGGTAACGTACTCGTATCTCTTCAAATTTACTCTCAGCAAGATTTGTTATACTAAATTTTCTTTTTTAACGTTTCGGTCAGTAGCTCACCCTGTAACTTATGCAAAGTGCACCCAGTTAGATTTATGCATTGCAAGTTTGACCTCTAACTCGTATACAGAAGCAGCATGTTTCAATACGAGATGACGATTGCCACGAAAGAAGCTTAAAGAATCAAATTACACCATTCTACCAATGTGCACAAAACTGCATCACAATAAATTAAAATAAAATATAATAGATCTATTTAAACTCATGATGCTCTTTAGAACAAAGTTCCACCATGCAATTGTTTTTTCACGAAATCTTAATATCTGGTAGACAGTTTGATCCAACTAAAAATGCAAAGTGATATAGAAGTTCTTAATCATAACTAGCTTTTTGAGCTATCCGTTGACAGATCAAATGAATACAAAGAAGAGCGATCTTGACATTGACTAGCATTCATAGTGTTTCTTTATTTACACACTGATCATTTATCTCCAGATGGAAGCCCATTGGCAACATGGCAGTTTTCAGGAACTACGTAGCTGGAACTGACGTCAACAACTGGAAATACGACGGGGGCGTACTGTCTTTCAGCAGAGGAAACAAAGGATTCTTCGCCATGTCCAACAATGATTTTAACACAAACATCCACACAGGTATTGATTACTCTCATCATTTCTGGACTTGTATCCTCCAGAGGAGTGGAGATAGCCCCCGGGG